CCGTGATATTGGCGTAAAATCCACTTCCTTTCCTTGCTGTGACATCTCTGAATCTCTTTTCATTTTCTCCTGTGCTTTTTCATCCAAAATATTGTAAATTTGTCCATTTATTGAACTCAGCACCTGTTTATATGATCCCATGGTATCCATATAATGTTTCCTCAGTTTATTTTTGTCGATGGTTTTTCCTCCTTCCTCTGGAACAAAATCACGGCAGTCTAAATATGCCCTTTTGATCTGGTCCCATGCAGAATCCAACTCCATACGTGTTGTCTCCAAAGTATGAACCGTGTCATCCGGTTTGGTTATTGAAAAAATTGAAATATAATCCTGAAGATCGTTGACGCAGTTTGCGAATTTTTCGCTTAGGGTCTTATCCATCTTGATGGCTGATTATTAACCTTTACCGAAATTTTGTTGTGTTGCAAAAAGGAAAGGCAACCCAATGAAAAGGATTGACTTGGAATAAGATTCAAACCTTTATCCAAATTTTTATTTTTAAAAAATAAGGATAAGCTATCTTCTTTAATTCGATCAACGAAATCTATGTTCAATTTTTGGTTTGGGTCGAATTATATTTCATTTTGTTCCAAAAGACTTGAAAGTTTTTCGAAATCCCAAAAACTTTACTTTGTATGTGTCGCTGAAATAATTTTGTTTAAAAAGGTTTGCTGGGTTGTCCAGAGAAGTCAAACTCAATCAAGATATGCCAAGGTGTCATAAAATGTCTTGAAATCCGCTTTTATTTGAAGAAAATCCAGAAATAATCAATATTATTCCAAAAGGAGTAAAGGTGAGGATTGTACAGGCAAACAACCCTACAAAAACGACCAAAAGATTTTTGATTTTCCACCAACGAGGGTTTTTTTCCCAGCAGTAAAATTGTAGAAAATGAAAATTTTCAATAAATATTTCCAAAAGTGAAAAATATTTTCAATTGAAATAAAAATGTGTGCTGGGTTGTCGAACAAAGAATCCTCAAAAATATTACCATAAAATTGCAGGAGGAATTTTAAATTTTGACGAGCCAAAAATATTGCTATGAAAATTTGTTTGAAGCAACAAATTTTCTAAAAACGCTAGGTAACTAATTTAAAGTCACAAGGTGCTAGTATTGGGTCAAGTTCCACAAAAAAAAAATTCCAGTAATTTGCAAAATTTTCCAAAAAAATTTGTATATTCCAGCAAAATTTTTGTTGTGTCAAACTCCAATTAAAATTTCCACAAAAACCTAACTTTTTCGTTCAGCAAATTCTTTCAAAATGTTTGTTTTTGCAAAAAGCAAAAAATACCAAAAAAATATTTCTGCGAAAAAATCCAGAAATAAATTTTCGGTCCAGAAATGTTTTTCTTGATTTAAAAATGTTAAGAGATTTTTAAAATATAATAAAAATGTGTTATATTATATATGGGATCAAATACAGCTCAGAAATATCTTTGCCAAATTTTATCGAGATCGGTTCAGATTTGGATATAGCTCCCATATATATCTTTATCTGATTTCAAATTAATTTCGCACCAAATGGGCAATACAAGTCCGAATTTAAAAGATACAAATGCTTCGGCATATTTAGTCCTTTGAATTTTAAATTATAATTATAATCATAGCGTGTATGATTGAATTCTCCCATAAAAACTTTAATTATTAAGTGGAGCTCAACTAAATTGTGTGGTGTAGGGTATCATAAAATCGGCCCCGCCCGACTTTAGGACTTTCTTCACTGGTTGTTTTTAATATTTTAAAAACCTCACTTTTTGATCCGGACCAAATGTTTATTACTTCACCTTTTTATACCCTCCACCATAGTATGGAGGGTATATTAAGTTTGTCATTCCGTTTGTAACACCTCGAAATATACATTTTAGACCCCACAAAGTATATATATATTCTTGATCAGCATAAAATTCTATGTCGATTTATCAATGTCCGTCCGTCTGTCCGTCTATCCGTCGGTCCGTCTGTGGAAATCACTCTAGCCTCCGAACGAAATGAAGTAGGTTGATAAAATTTTACTCAAATGTGTACTATGTCTGCAGGACTTTTGGTATTGAAAATGGGCCATATAGGTCCACGTCTTCGTATAGCCCCCATATAACGGTACCCCCCCATATATTCAGTATTTTGATGATTTTAGCGACATTATTTACCGGAATGGTTTCAAATTTGGTATTTGAAGTTCGTAATGAATACTACAGCCTATCACAGAAAATTGTCTGTGCAGAACCACGCCTTCGTATAGCCCCCATATAACGGTACACCCCGATATTCGGTATTTTGATGATTTTGGCGACATTATTTATCGGAATTGTTTCAAATTTCGCATTTGAAGTTCGTGAAGTTCGATATAACAGCCTATGAAAAAAAATTTTCTGTGCAGATCCACGTTTTATAACCACCTTGGTACCTCCCTATATTCGAGGATTTTGACGATTTTATCTACATTGTAAACAGATTTTTTTCAAGTTTCGCATTTGAATATTGTGATATAAGTTGCCTTGTGACAAAAGTTGCCTATGCAGGTCCACGTCGCCATATAGACTCTAATATACGGCTACATGATTTTAACAGAATTTTAAAAACCTTTAAACTTGCGTACGCGCTTTTAAATTCGAGACTGAACTGAACTAACTCCAATTTGCATCGTCACAGCAAACCTGTTTTGGCTGGTGACGATGCTTATTTATTTCAATTCAGCATTGGAATTTAACGGTGGCTGCATATATGTGCATGTGTGTGTGCATATGTATCTAATATGTACATCATTTTTTTATGATGTTATTTATGCAGCCACCAGTAATGTAACAAACAACACTGTTGCGCAAAAATATAGCATCTTTTATGAACACTACCCATGTAAGGCATTCAGTGACAAACGGTTGTGTATTTTCTTTTTGCAAATATTTTTTATGAAATTTAGCATATTGCTTTCTAGAATTTATTCAAATAATATTGAAAGCCATTTTCTACTTGATTTTGTCAATATCTTTTTTTAATTTCTTTAAAAAATATTTCCAAAAAAAAGTCCTCTTTACAGGTAAATATCAATCGTGGACCTACACAAGCAATGTTTTACCAAAGGAGCTAGAACCCATTACGACCTACAAATACCAATATTCAGACAAATCCGTGAAGAAATGTGGCAAAAATAATCAAATTACCGAATATCGGGAGGTACCGTTATATGGGGGCTATACCAAAACGTGGACCTATAATAACAATGACTCGCCACAAGAACTGGGAGCCATTATGATCTAAAATTTTTCAGAGAAATTCTTGAAAAAATGTGTCAAAAATCATCAAAATACCGAATATTGAAAGGTACCGTTATCTGGGGACTTTATCAAAACGTGGACGTATACATACAATGTTTCGCCACACGAGCTATGACCTATTACGATCCACAAATACCAATTTTTAGACAAATCAGTGAAAGAATGTGGCAAAAACCATCAAAATACCGAATATCAGGAGGTACCGTTATATGGGGGCTATACCAAATCATGGACCTATACATGCAATGTTTTGCCACACGCACAGGGACCCGTGTAGCATAAATCATCCGATATATCTCATTTTAATACCAACCATCCTAGACAGAACACAAATTGCTCTGCTAAATTTTGGCGCTCTACGTCAAATAATGTGGGCTGTATCGTGATTTCAACAGACAGACAGACAGACAGACGGACATCGTTAAATCGACTTAGAATTTTATGCTGATTATGAATATATTATTTATTTCAAAAAAAAAAATACTAAAATTGTAGATTGAGTGAAAAAATACCTATATTTTGTAAAATATTTGCGGTCCTGAAAAGGACCGATTGTTTTGTCGTAAAATTGTTGCTTTTAAAACGTCAAGAATTTAAGCACTTTCTCCACGAGTACGTCTGACCAATTGGATATCCTTAGACATGATGGTGACACGCTTAGCATATATGGCGCACAAGTTAGTATCTTCGAAAAGACCAACCAAGTAGGCTGTTGCGCAAAAATATAGCATCTTTTATGAACACTACCCATGTAAGGCATTCAGTGACAAACGGTTGTGTATTTTCATTTTGCAAATATTTTTTATGAAATTTAGCATATTGCTTTCTAGAATTTATTCAAATAATATTGAAAGCCATTTTCTACTTGATTTTGTCAATATCTTTTTTTTTTTAATTTCTTTAAAACATATTTCCAAAAAAAGTCCTCTTTACAGGTAAATATCAATCGTGGACCTACACAAGCAATGTTTTACCAAAGGAGCTAGAACCCATTACGACCTACAAATACCAATATTCAGACAAATCCGTGAAGAAATGTGGCAAAAATAATCAAATTACCGAATATCGGGAGGTACCGTTATATGGGGGCTATACCAAAACGTGGACCTTTAATAACAATGACTCGCCACAAGAACTGGGAGCCATTATGATCTAAAATTTTTCAGAGAAATTCTTGAAAAAATGTGTCAAAAATCATCAAAATACCGAATATTGGAAGGTACCGTTATCTGGGGACTTTATCAAAACGTGGACGTATACATACAATGTTTCGCCACACGAGCTATGACCTATTACGATCCACAAATACCAATTTTTAGACAAATCAGTGAAAGAATGTGGCAAAAACCATCAAAATACCGAATATCAGGAGGTACCGTTATATGGGGGCTATACCAAATCATGGACCTATACATGCAATGTTTTGCCACACGCACAGGGACCCGTGTAGCATAAATCATCCGATATATCTCATTTTAATACCAACCATCCTAGACAGAACACAAATTGCTCTGCTAAATTTTGGCGCTCTACGTCAAATAATGTGGGCTGTATCGTGATTTCAACAGACAGACAGACAGACGGACATCGTTAAATCGACTTAGAATTTTATGCTGATTATGAATATATTATTTATTTCAAAAAAAAAAATACTAAAATTGTAGATTGAGTGAAAAAATACCTATATTTTGTAAAATATTTGCGGTCCTGAAAAGGACCGATTGTTTTGTCGTAAAATTGTTGCTTTTAAAACGTCAAGAATTTAAGCACGTTCTCCACGAGTACGTCTGACCAATTGGATATCCTTAGACATGATGGTGACACGCTTAGCATAGATGGCGCACAAGTAAGTATCTTCGAAAAGACCAACCAAGTAGGCTTCGCTGGCTTCTTGCAAGGCTATAACAGCAGAGCTCTGGAAACGCAAGTCAATTTTGAAATCTTGAGCGATTTTACGAACCAAACGTTGGAGGGGCAATTTACGGATCAACAATTCAGTACTCTTCTGGTAACGACGGATTTCACGCAAAGCAACTATACCAGGACGGGCAGCTTTGGTGGCTAGTTGTTCACGGGGAGCCTTTCCACCGGTCGATTTACGGGCAGTTTGCTTAGTACGAGCCATTTTTGACTTGAAATTTTTCACTTCACTAGATATGCACACAAACACTGTTAACACTGTATTAATAGAAAGTATTAATAGCAAATTGTGCTGTTAGCATCAACTTTTGGGGTTGATATGTTAGGGAATTCTTACCTATCGATATTCCAAATATACACGCACACACAAAAGAGAAAATACAATACTAACGGCAGATGCACACACACACATATACTTGTACTTTACTTGTGCGTTCAATGGTTGGAGAGAGCCTCAAATTTTGTAAAGCGGACCTGGGTTCAAAAAAACATTCGTGCTTTGAACGTTAGTGAAATAAACTAAAGTGAAAAAATGACTGGTCGTTGTAAAGGTGGTAAAGGCTTGGGGAAAGGTAGCGCCAAACGTCACAGGAAAGTGCTCCGTGATAACATCCAAGGTATTACCAAGCTAGCTCTTAGACGTTTGTCTTAGACGTTTGAAATATATTTTTTTAATTAAAATAAAGAAAACAAGTAAAAAAGCTGTAAGTTCGGGCCGAACTTTGAATACCCTCAACCATATGGTAAATATTTAACAATTTTCAAAAATATAAAATCAGTTAAAAATTCTGTTAAAATCTTAAAAATACCAAATGTAAACGAAAATTAGGGTCTATACGACGACGTGGACCTACATAGGCAACTTTTGTCACAAGCTATTACAATATTCAAATGCGAAACTTGAGAAAAAATCTGTTTATAATGTAGATAAAATCATCAAAATACCAAATATAAGTAGGTACCATGGGCGTTATAAAAAGTGGACCTGCACAGCCAATTTTCCGTCATAGGATGTAGTATCCATTATGAACTTCAAATACAAAATTTGAAATAATTCCGGTAAATAATGTCGCTAAAATCATCAAAATACCAAATATCGGGGGTTCCGTTATATGGGGGCTATACGAAGACGTGGACCTGCACAGACAATTTTCTGTCATAGGCTGAAGTATTCATTATGAAATTCATATACCAAATTTGAAACCATTCCGGTGAATAATGTCACTAATACCATCAAAATAACGAATATCGGGAGGTACCGTTATATGGAGGCTATACGTAGAAATGGACCTGCATGGACAATTTTCTATCGTAGGCTGTAGCATCCATTACGAACTTCAAATACCGCATTTGAAACAATTCCGGTGAATAATGTCACTAAAACCACCAAAATAACGAATATTGGGAGGTACCGTTATACAGGATCTATACGAAGTCGCGGACCTGCGCAGACAATTTTCTGTCCCAAAATGTAGTACCCATTAGGAACTTCCATTACGAAACTTGAAATGATTCCGGTGAATACTGTTGCTGAAATTATCAAAATTCGAATATCGGGAGGTACCGTTATATGGTGGCTATACGAAAACGTGGACCTGCACAGATAATTTTCTGTCAAAGGCTGTAGTAAGCATTGCGAAATTTAAATACCAAATCTGAAACAATTCCGGTGAATAATGTCATTAAAACCATCAAAATAACGAATATCGGGAGGTACCGTTATATGGAGGCTATACGTAGATATGGACCTGCATAGACAATTTTCTGTCGTAGGCTGTAGCATCCATTACGAACTTTAAATACCGCATTTGAAACAATTCCGGTGAATAATGTCACTAAAACTATCAAAATAACGAATATCGGGAGGTACCGTTATATAGGGTATATACGTAGTCGCGAACCTGCGCATACTATTTTCTGTCCTAAGATGTAGTACCCATTAGGAACTTCCAGTACGAAATTTGAAATGATTCCGGTGAATACTGTTGCTGAAATTATCAAAATTCGAATATCGGAAGGTACCGTTATATGGGGGCTATACGAAAACGTGGACCTGCACAGATAATTTTCTGTCAAAGGCTGTAGCAAGCATTGCGAAATTTGAATACCAAATTTGAAACAATTCCGGTGAATAATGTCACTAAAATCAAAATAACGAATATCGGGAGGTACCGTTATATAGGGTCTATACGAAGTCGCGGACCAGCGCAGACTATTTTCTGTCCTAAGATGTAGTAGCCATTAGGAACTTCCAGTACGAAATTTGAAATGATTCCGGTGAATAATGTCGCTAACATAACCAAAATACCGAACATCGTGTGGTGCCGTTATATGGGGGCTATACGAAGGCGTGGACCTGCATAGATAATTTTCTGTCAAAGGCTGTAGTATGCATTGCGAAATTTGAATACCAAATTTGAAACAATTCCGGTGAATAATGTCACTAAAATCAAAATACCGAATATCGGGAGGTACCGTTACATGGTGGCTATACGAAAACGTGAACCGACATGACCCATTTACAACCTTAACCTGCCTACTGGTGAACTACGCATGTATGCAACATTTTAGCCTTATATCTCAATTCATTCGAAAGATAGCGTGATTACAACAGACATACGGACCTGCATATACAATTTTCTGTCGTAGGCTGTGGTATTCAATGCGAACTTCTAATACCAAATTTGAAACAATTCCTGTGAATAATGTTGCTAATATCAGTAAGATAACGCAAATAGGGAGGTACCGTTATGTGGGGGCTTTACGACGACGAGGACCTGCAGAGAAAATTTCTGACGTAAGTTGTAGTATTCATTGGGAACTTCAAACACCAAATTTGAAACAGTTCCGGTGAATAATGCAGCTAAAACCATAAAAATACCGAATATTGGGAAATGTCGTTATATAGGGTCTGTACGAAGACGTGGATCTGTAAAGACAAATTTCTGTCTTAGGCTGCAGTATCTATTACGAACTTCAAGTACCAAATATCAGGAGTTGCTGTCGTGTGGGGGCTAGACGAAGGCGTGGTCCTGCAGAGATAATTTTCTGTCATAGGCATTACGAGCTTAAAATATCAAATTTGAAACAATTACAGTGAACAATGTCGCTAAAATTATCAAGATACCGGAAATAGGAGGGTACCGTTATGTGGGGGCTTTGCGAAGACGAGGACCTGCAGAGAAAATTTTCTGACGTGAGCTGTAGTATTCATTGGGAACTTCAAACACGAAATTTGAAACAATTCCGGTTAATAATGTCGCTAAAATCATCAAAACACCGAATATCGGGTGGTACCATGATATGGGGACTATACGAAGGCGTGGACCTGCATAGACAATTTTCTGTCGTAGGCAGACAGAATTCCGGTTAATAATGTCGCTAAAATCATCAAAACACCGAATATCGGGTGGTACCATGATATGGGGACTATACGAAGGCGTGGACCTGCATAGACAATTTTCTGTCGTAGGCAGTAGTATGCTTTGCGAATTTCAAATACCAAATTTGAAACAATTCCGGTGAATAATGTCGCTAACATAACCAAAATACCGAACATCGTGTGGTGCCGTTATATGGGGGCTACATGAAGACGTTGACCTGCACAGACAATTTTCTGTCAAAGGGTGTAGTATCTATTACGAACTTCATATACCAATTTTGAAACAATTCCGGTGAATAATGTCGCTAAAATCATAGAAATACCGAATATGGGGTTGTGCCGTTATATGGGGGCTATAGAAGATTTACATTTTATATTTGGGTAAAATATTATCAACCTACTTTATTTCGTTCGGAAGCTAGAGTAAATTCCACTGTCGGACGGACATCGCTAACTCGCCATAGAAGTATATGCTGATCAAGAATATGTGTACTTTGTTGGGTCTAAAATGTATATTTCGAGGTGTTACCTCCGTACTATGGTGTAAGGTATAAAAATCCTAAAACAAAACTTGCAAGAAAAGATTGAGTTTTAATCAGGTACGCAGTACATTAATAGAATATTTGGTAGCATAACATAAAACTTTCAATTTCAATCAAAGCAAGTTTGCGGAAACACATCTTGAAAATTCGTATTAAACGGGAGAAAATGACATCCTTTTTCAATAATATGAAGCGACCACGAAGAGGTATTGCTCTAAATTTGTGTACATATATTTATTTATATTGCACAAAACGTTTGCTGAAATTCCGAAAATCTGTTTCAAAAAGGACTCAAAAAGTACAAAGAAAAATTAAACATGTTACTATCCGCCAAAATCTACTTAAAAAATGGGTAAATCTTCGAAGCATATCAATCTCCCAATCTTTCCGACTTGAGAAAAATCGATCAAAATTTGGTATACAGAGTTGTCTCAGTATTTTTGAGTTTCAAATGTATCTAGTTTAGATATAATAAAGCTAATTTTATTTTTAATAATTATATTGGCACTTACATGTATGCTTTCTATATTTATGCCTCTGTTTAGCTCAATGTACATATTTTCTTACGATTTCTCGATTTTTTCCACTGATCTGAATATCGGAGATTCCTAACTCAACCAGTGTTTGCATTCTTGTACAGCAGCCCGATGGCATTTTGGTTTTGCAAAATAGATGGGGTTAATCCCATAATTGTGGATTTTATTGTTGTTGACGAGATAGAAGAGGACCCGACAAAAACGTTATTTAATACGTTCAAAATTACATATAATTTAAATAGTTGATTAAATGTTCACTATTGTAGAAAAAGAATCCATCCCCAGACCAGCGAATTTGGCAATTTTCAAAAAATTAAATCCATCAAAAATTCTTTTATAATGTTAACAAGCAAAAAAGAATCTAAGTTCGGCCGGACCAAACTTTTAATACCCTCCTCCATTTCGAAGGAAATTGATAAAATTAAAAAAAAATCCTAAAACTACCACCTAAATGAAAACCGTTATATGGGGACTATACAAAGACGTGCACCTGTACACGATTTTTTTGTCATAGGCTGTAGTGCCCATTACGAACTTCAAATACGAAATTTGAAACAATTCCGGGGAATAATATCACTAAAATCATCAAAATACCAAATATCGGGAGGTACCGTTACATGGGGGCTATACGAAAACGTGAACCGACATGACCCATTTACAACCTTAATCTGCCTACTGGTAAACTATGCATGTATGCAAAATTTTAGCCTTCTATCTCAATTCGTTCGAAAGATATCGTGATTACAACAGACAGACGGACCTGCATAGACAATTTTCTGTCGTAGGCTGTAGTATTCATTGCGAACTTCAAATACCAAATTTGAAACAATTCCGTTGAATAATATCGCTAAAATCATCAAAATACCGAATATCAGGAGGTACCGTTAGATGGGAACTATACGAAGACGTGGAGCTG